TGGCAAGATTGATGGAGACAGAGCAAGAGAAAAAGAGACAAATACCCAGATGGCCTGGCCAGATAGATGGATTGGGCGAGACCAAACATTGAACTGATCCATAATTCTGGTCATCGTGTGGGATGGCGACACATGACAGTTTACGCTTACGTGGACGGCACACGATGATAATGATGATGACGACTATGATGATGATGATGATGATGAAGCAAAGACCCTTATGCAGTTCGCGCCAAACCCGTCCAAACATATTCTATGTTGGTTGACTTTTGCAGCTAATACGAGATTCAAGAGCCAATCCGATCTTACTTAAAACCTTGAATGATGGGATCACAACACTGATCTCAAACTCTTACACGACAGATGCCAACAAGGAATACCAGGAGTGGCCCAGAAATAAATGGAACACCCTTCTCACGGGACTACAGGCTACTTCGTAATTGTCGTGTGCACTAATATAACTGTGTTATAGGTTGAACTGGGTTTATGGGATTTGCTTCTTTATTCATCTGGATACGGTCTCTTTGGGTCACATGATGGGAATCTGTGAATATGCATGAAGTTCATACTAGAGACAATATTGCAGATATTGATAATCCATTTGTAGCAAAAGAAAGAAAGAAAGAAAGAAAGAAAGAAAGAAAGAAAGAAAGGAAGAAAGAAAGAAAGAAAGAAAGAAGAAAGAAAGAAAGAAGGGAAAGAAAGAAAAGGAAAAGAAAGGAAAAAGTTTTTTTTTTTCGAAAGACAAGAAAGAAAAGAAAGAAAAAAAAGTGGGGAGGGAAAGAAAGAAAGACAGAAGAAGGAACAAGATAAAGAAAGGAAGAAAGGAAGAAAGAAGGACGGAAGGAAGAAGGAAGGAAGGAAGGAAGAAGGAAGGGAGGAAGGAAGGGAGGGAGGAAGGAAGGAAGGGAAGGAAGGAAGGAAGGAAGGAAGGAAGGAGGAAGGAAGGAAGGAAGGCAAGGAAGGAAGGGAAGGGAGGGAGGGAGGGAGGGAGGGAGGGAGGGAGGGGGAGGGGAGGAAGGAAGGAAGGAAGGAAGGAAGGAAGGAAAGGAAGGAAGGAAGGAAGGAAGGAAGGAAGGAAGGAAGGAAGGGAGGAAGGGAGGAAGGAAGGAAGGAAGGAGAAGGAAGAATAGAAAGAAAGAAAGGAAGGAGGAAGGAAGAAGGAAGGAAGGAAGGAAGGAAGGAAGAAAAGAAGGAAGGAAGGAAGGAAGGAAGGAAGGAAGCGAGGAAGGAAGGAAGGAAGGAAGAAGAAGGAAGGAAGAAGAAGGAAGAATAAAAAAAAGGAAGGAAGGAAGGAAGGAAGGAACGGAAGGAAGGAAGGAAGAAGAAGAAGAAGAAGAAGAAGAAAGAAGAAGAAATAGGAAGAAGAAGAAGAAGAAGAAGAAGAAGAAAGGAGAAGAAAAAATAGAAGACGAGACGAAGAAGAAGAAGAAGAGGAGAAGAAGAAGAAGAAGAAGAAGAGAAGGACGAAGAAGAAGAAGAAAAGAAGAAGAAGAAGAAGAAGAAGAAGAAGAAGAAGAAGAAGAAGAAGAAGAAGAAGAAAAAGAAGAAGAAGAAGAATGAGGAGGAGGAGAAGAAGGAGGAGGAGGAAGACAAGAAAAAGAATAAAAAGCAGCAGCAGCAGCAGAAGAAGAAGAAGAAGAAGAAGAAGAAGAAGAAGAAGAAGAAGAAGAAGAAGAAGAAGAAGAAGAAGAAGAAGAAGAAGAAGAAGAAGAAGAAGAAGAAGAAGAAGAAGAAGAAGAAGAAGAAGAAGAAGAAGAAGATGATGATGATGATGATGATGATGGTAATATGCAGTTATACAGGGGGAAAAGAGGAATAGTGTATTTTGACAACAACAACGAAACAGCCACACTGAAATACAGTATCAGACTCATACCCCTTTTGATGTTCTCAGTCTTTTGAGCTGCTGCTGCTTTGGAGTTTGCAAATATGTCTCCTCTACATCTATATTAGCTTGTTCTACTGCAGGCCCATGTAAGAGGCATTCGTCTAGCTGAAGTTCATCTTGCAGGAATATTTTGACGTAGTCGGACATGACCAAATCGTCTGCTTGCTGCTCGCAGTTTTCTGCGGTCTCTTCTGAATATCGGTCATCTCCCTCGTGGTGGAGTCGTTCTGCAACTGGCGAGACGGATGGCTCCGAAGACACGCTGGAGCTGATCTCTGGTCGTGTGGAGGACAATGAAGGATCGGACTGTTGACCACTGAAACAGTTGTCGAAGATGAACTGTGTAATCTGCACGTAATGTATTAGTTTTGAGAACAGCTGGTAATAAAAGGATTTCGTAAATCTCGTAACAAATGAACAACTTATATATGTGGTAATATTTACTTCGTACGCAGATAGTAATACAATGAGTCTCTTCTCCTCCCCCCCCCCTCACCCTCTCTCCCCCAACACCTGGCTCTTCTTCTTCTTCTTCTTCTTCTTCTTCTTCTTCTTCTTCTTCTTCTTCTTCTTCTTCTTCTTCTTCTTTTCTTCTTCTTCTTCGTCTTCTTCTTCTTCTTTTTCTTCTTCTTCTTCTTCTCTGCTTTCGGTTTCGTATGCTCAAATCAGACCATCAGGTGGGTTGCCTTTATGAACTCGCATGTCAGTAACAGGTCCTTCATGGTTCCCCATAGCTTGCTCTGCAAACTTTGCTCTTGTGGCCAGAAGTCTTTTCGAAGTTGCCTTTAGAGTTGGCAGGTCTGCAGAATGTGCTCAGGTGTTTGTGGCCCCGTTTGACAGGCTCACTGTGGCGACTGTAAATCTTTATTTTATGCATGTGGTAGTTGAGCCTGCAGTGTCCTGTTCGTAGACGAAAAAATTATTGTATCTTGCTTTTCGTTGAGTCTGCTGATGTGGTCTTGTGGATGTTATAAAAAAAAATTTAAAAAAAGATGCAGGCAGTAGATGGCAGAGGAGAATTGAGTGAGTGATTGATTTGATTCAAGGACCGACATCACAGCACTCGGGGCATTCTCATAAGTGCTCCGTCCCCATCTTCAGCAGCCAGCGAAGAGTTCCGATACTAATTGTGCCAGTAGCATTCTGATTAAACGTCTTGCCTTTCCTCTGAGCCTCGAGCATCTACCAGAACCTCTCGTCACCCCCAACTGTATCAATCTCACCAGACTGGCAGAGGAAAAGATGGAGTTGAACCTGACTTTTAGGTGGCTAATTCCCTTACCCCCGAACATGTACAGAGGTCTGGATTTAAAGACGTTCTATGCTTAAGCATGTCTTTATGCATTTTCATATTGTTTCAGATATTGTATTACATTTATTTCCCGTTCAGCAAAAATTAATATTAGTATTATTATCCATATGCACTTAAACAAGAAGCCTCAAGGGTTTACCCCTAAAATTAAAACCCATTTTTGGCTGTATCGGCTTAGGTCAACACGAAAGTTATCCGTTTTAAAGCTTCGTCTAACCTTAAGTAGGCGCGCACCGGCGACTGGGTCGCTCATTGCTCGCCGGAAGACGACTTCGTCGCACTTCGAGGCAGTATTGGGGTCTGTCTCCTTTGATCGCATCAACGCTGCAGGAGTCTTTTCCCGCGCTCTTGGTGGCGAGCAATGCTGAGCTAGTTTTTTGTTTTGTTTTTTGTCGCACATAACCTAGTCACAATTATAACCTAAAGCTTCCCAGTAAAGCATCTACCATCTGGGTGAGCGTGGGGGGGGGGGGGGGGGGGTCAAAACGGCGCTGTAAAGCTAAGGAACATCCAGCCCCTAAACGAGAGTGTCGCTGCAGCAATTGCAGTTGTAATTCTGGACAGGATCCAGAAGATGTGGCAGGAGACTGAGAACTTTCTAGACATCAGCAGAGTTACAAATGGCGCCATTATCAGTGTACTAAGGCAAGGCTAAAACTTTGAGCTTTCCGAAATTTTTATGACGCCACATGTGTATATTATTAAATACATCTTTTATTCCACGTATTGGCTACCGGGCCCCATATTGGGGGCAATTAGAAAAAAAAAAAACAGGATAGACCCACTGCTAGATAACAAGCATGTCGTAAAGGTCGACTTATTAGAGCTACTTCCTTCGAAGTCGGAGTGCATCTGCCAGAGAGGCCAGGAACTGACAGTCTGCATACAAATCTATAAAACGGATGTGAAGCAAAACTGAAATTCTGGAACAAGACAACAGACCAGACGTGGACAAGCAGCCATAACTTTCCACCGGATTTTCAAAACAGTTTCAAACCCCGACAATTATTCTTAATAACCCTGTAATTTATTTGCTACAAGCAGCAGCGCGACAGATCATGATCCTTCTTGCCGACGCCTTTTTAGGTAACCTACAGAAGATGAAAGGGCTTAAACCTTGCTTAAGTGTGTAATAACAATACTTCTAATTATTATTATCATACGCTTATTTTGTTCTTCTATTATTATTATTATTATTATTATTTTTATTATTATTTTTATTATTATAAAGTGCTGAATGGCAATTACATACATAACTTCTTTCCTGGGAGCGAGTCAAAGTTTAGCCCCTTTAACAATTTTCAGGGGGGGGGGGGAGGGGATCTAAGCTGCCCCATAACATTTGTTACGGCCCTAACGTGCTTGATCTGCCAGATTCCCGTACCACAGGACATGACCAACGACAGGCGTCGTTTAGATAATATGTAATAAAGATTAATAAAACAGGGTCAATCGGCACTGCGTTTGCGACAGTGCCCTCTCTGTCTTTTATGTAGCTTCTAATCTCGGTCTTGTGCTAGTCATTTAAACACCATCTCGCTATTTGGGAGTGATTGAACAGTGCAGAGGCACAGATAGATTATTGCGGTCTGGAAAGAATGACGCTGCGAGAAGTTACAAGTGGATCTCAACGCTCAGGGGAAAGGCGAGACGGATATACAATCAGAAAGTTACTGGTGCCATCGGAACTGGAACTCTTCGCTTGCTGCTGAAGATGGGGATGGAGCGCTTATGGGGGTGTCCCGAATGCTGTGATGTCGATTCTTGGTTCAGCATGTAAAATTCAACACTACCTGGCTAGAACTGAGAAACGTACAAATGAAAAAGTAAAAGATGGGAGAGAACTGACCTGACGATGTCCAGAAACCCATTCAGCCTTCCAGAGACCTTGATTTCGTCTCGCTGGATGGAATGTAAATATTTGTACTCGTGCAGCAACGCTTCAGCATCAGCGTTTGTGTCCACCTCATCGCCTGTGGTTTGACAAATTCAAATGATGCTTCAGGTGAAGATTGCAGCGAGAACAAACAAACAAAAGTGCGACCTGGGCTACTTACGACCATCTGCACTTACGAAACAAGCTAAGTAAAAAAGTAAAAATTACGGGACTATTTTACGCCTTCTGACGTATTTGGTATATAGGGCTAGACTTGTAATAATTTTTATTTTAATCGGTACTAGGTGGATGATGTGGTTAACATCACACCAGCCGCCTTTACTTCCCAGGACTTATCTGGTGCCCATTCGAGGCTGGGTCGACTTGAGAGCCAAGATCTTGTATGAAAAAAAAACTCTAGCTCCGTCAGGACCCGAACCCTCACCTTCCCATCCGCAGCGGAGCTCTAGCCTCTACACCACAGATTCTACTTCAAAAAAAAAAAAAAAAGTGACCTAACAAAGATAACTACATTAGTGGTATAAAAAAAAAGTTCCTGAAACTGATGCCTTGAATGCATCAGGATCTGTATCAGTGTTTCTTAGCGTTTTACACCCGTGGCCCACCAAAAACAAGGGAAATTGTTTCGTGGCCCATCTGATAGTCAACCAAACACAACACATAAGAATTTAGCAGTAGTCTTTTTCTGTTTAAATCCCATGTCAAACAATTACTGGCTTCAGCTGATACGACGTCTTTTGATTGTCATCCTTGAGGTGTGGATCCTAAAGAGACTGCCATCCTTAGTTAGCGAGTAAGTCTTTCCTCTTGAGCTTAGGGCGGCGCATAGGGCAGAGATAATAGCTCTATATGTCTGGCGGTTCGTTGCCACCTGCTTTAGGTCTTAGATGTTCGTTAGACCCAGGGTAAGCCTTCCCAAATTATGGTTCTCTCTTGATCTACCTCGTTTTCTTTTTCCGTCTGGTGTCCATATGAGGGCTTGTTTTATGGGGGTTGAGGGGGGGGGGGGGAGGAATCTGGTCTTATCTGTTCTGAGTGCATAAAACTTTTATCTTGGAAGAGGAAAACTACCTACTATACCCCCTCTTATGCTTATCAAGAAATTGTTTGGTTTTCCACCTGGACTTTTTTTGCCACACACCAATAGGCCGTGACTGAGCTTTGAAGAACATTGGTTGATATAGACATCTGGGTAACTCTACTAAGATGGCAGACTATCTGGAACCGTAGATATCGCATATCTGTATTTTATATACAATTGTAATAACACTTTGAACAAAAATCGTGTTGAAGAATTGAAATTTGACTTACGACCTCTTAGTTGTTTAGGAAATCGGTGGTAATAAACAGAAACCAACTAACAATCTAAAAATGTAAACACTCAATTCATATAGAATGAATCAATAAGGTTTAGGTTTAGACGACAGATCAACGTCAACAAGGGTAGTAATCCATAAGTGCCCCGTTCTACTTCTGACTCAAGCATGAGTCCGAAGAATCTCAGCACAGTGCAGGAACTCCGTAGCACCGGTGAGGATCCTGATTTACTTTTCAATTTTCAACTGCCAACGGATTTTTTTTACGTGCGCAGCAATACACTCGGGCGTCCGATCTTACTACCCAGAGGCCAGAAGAAAAGTCAACCTGAAAAAAATCCCAGACTTCACAAGGGTTTGAAACGGGAACCTCCAGCCCTTGAAGCGGACGCCATGCCTCGATACCACGCAGCCCCCCCCCCCCCACCCTTCTCCGCCCCAGAAGGAATCAACCAGTTACTCATGAATCCAGAAACTAACTAGCACACTCACTCATCAGTACAACAGCTTGTAAATCAAGATTTGAAATGTGAGCAGACACAAATAAATACATTGAGAACTTTTGAGGTCATAGAAACAGTATGGTAAATAAATTGACCTTTATTGATTGGTAACTACTTCAACGGTGAAATTTATCAGACATACCAGTATGTTTATCTCACACACACACACACACACACCCACACATATACACATTAAACATTATCTCAAAAACGCACATAAAATATCTGTCTATGCACATTACATAATGTTTATCGCACACACTTAATTAAATGTCTACAACACGCACTTAAAAAATGTATATCACTCAAACACATACCAAAATGTTTAGCACAAGCGTAAAACAAAATGTCTACCACACGCACATAACATAATGTCTTTCGCACACACCCATATCAAAATTTCTATTACGCAAGCACTTACCAAATGTCTATAAGACATACGAGTACAAAATGTTTGTCACACGCACAAAACAAAATGTCTGTCACTGCACATAATAAAATGTCTACTACGCAAACATAAAAAACTGTATAATTTGTTTTCTTCAATTATCCAGAAACCATGAGTTGTTAACCCTTTGGCTCGGTACTATGGATATCGCAACCCTTCGGCCTTGATTCCATGATAGGTACCGTAAATCTGGGAGGAAATGTGGCTTTCCTGCCTACCCCCGGGAGTGAACCCGGACCACAAGGAGTTCGTCACCCGCTCACCGCGCAGTCCAGTTTAGCCAACTACGCTAGAGAGCCGGGCAAAACTGTCTAATAACTATGATAATAAGAACACGCAGCACTCACCGTTAAGAGCGTTTGTTGCTCGTGTCAACGGATGTCCAAAAAACGCTTTGACGTCGTCAGGCGGGCTATCGACAGTCACTTTTTCCTTGAGCAGAGGTGACTGCGATGCGGAACGCTCATCACACAGCATCCTTCTGCTGCTACTGCTGCTGATGACGTCTTCGGAAGCTGTCATTGTACTGGTTGTTGAGGATGGCGAGGCGTCTTCCTCTTTGAACATATCCCTGAAATTAGTCAACACGAATATGTTCATGCAAAGTTAGATAACTTTTTTATGATAAAATATTTTCACTATAGAGGGAGTCGCCGTGGCGGAGAGGCTAGACGCGTATCGGAAGATCGTGGGTTCGCTCCCTGGCGGAGCCGGATTGATTTAAAAAATGACTTTGGCTTCCAGATCGAAACAGCCTTGAGTGGGTACCGAGTGCAGTCCCGGGAAGTAAAGGCGGTCAGCGGGATGCTGACCACATCACCCATCTTGTACCGATTGGTCTATAAAATATAGGTCTACCCCTATTGGCCCTATACGCCTAAAGGCTTGGAAGAGGGTCCGTTTCTTACTTTGTATTCACTATTCATCTTCTCTATGACGCACCCACACTTGAGTACAGGTTACATGCGAACCATTTTGTAGTGCCTCAGTATAGCTGAGCTAAATGGCTATACGAGTACTGAAATGTTACATCGAGCCTGTTCTATTGTATGGCAGTGAATCTTGGAATGTGAGCAAACATATTAAGAAGACGTTGGAAGCAACCGAGATTTGGTTCTTGAGAAGAATGTTTCGAATACCTTGGACTGCCAGAGTAACTAACAATGATTGCCTGAAAATGGCTAACCAAGTATAAAATTTTACACAAAAATAAGAAAGAGATAAAGTTATTTGGTCATGTAATGAAAAATCGTGACGAATGGAAAGATCACTGGTATTAGAGTCAGAGGCTGACTAAGAGAATAGCTTAAGACAGCGGTGTGGAGAAATATCATCAGTGGAATTGATCCACAACACCAAAGACCGAGATCTGTGGCGATGCATGAACGCATACGCCAGCTGGCAAGGCACTTGATGATTGATGATATGGCTATACGGTTGGATGGGGTCTCCAAAATTTGCATGTTTCATTCTCATCCTTAAGATGTTAATCCTACAGAATGCGAATCTGTAAGGAACAAATTTAAAAAAAAAAAGGAGGAGGAGGAGGAGAAGGAGAAGAAGAAGAAGAAGAAGAAGAAGAAGAAGAAGAAGAAGAAGAAGAAGAAGAAGAAGAAGAAGAAGAAGAAGAAGAAGAAGAAGAAGAAAAAGAAGAAGAAGAAGAAAAAGAAGAAGAAGAAGAAAAAGAAGAAGAAGAAGAAGAAGAAGAAGAAGAAGAAGAAGCAGAAGAAAAAGCACTGAAGTAATTTTAAGTCAGCTTATCTGTGGATCCGATAAGCATATTTTGAATCTGCAACAAGGCGGATGTTTAGAAAAAAGTTTTGACTTCATCTCCCCAAGATTGGCCCTATGTAAAATCGGTACAAGGGTATGACATGGAAAGTAAAGACGGTTGACGTTGTGTTAACCGCATTACTTATAATATACCCGTGTGGGTTCCGGGGCCCCATTGTGGGGAAAACAAGAATAGACCCACTGCCTCCCCAAAAGCATGTCGTAAGAGTCGACTAATTGGGGAGCTTCCTTTGAAGTCGGAGTGCATCTGCCGGAGAGGCAAGGAACCAACAGTCTGTATTCAAGAGAATGAGATCTGTAAAACTGATGCACACGCAACACTCAGGTTCTGGAGCAGGACTGCAGTTCAGTTGTGGACGAGCAACCAGAACTTTCCGCCAGAGTGTCCAGCTGGTGAACGCGAAGAAGAAGAAGACTTAAAATATGCTGACTGGTCTATAAGGACAAAGAGCCGGCCCTCGGGTCCATTTCTTTTATTTTAACGATTTATTGACAATACAAATTATCAAATTTCATTACTGTAAAGAAGTTAATTTACAAGACAACTTGTTTATCATGTAACGCACTGCGATTTAATGTATTTATCGTACAGATTTTGGGAGTCGCCGTGGCATAGCGGCTAGACGCTCGCCGCGGATCAGAAGGTAGTGATTTCAGTCCCTGGCGGAGCCAGACTTTTTTCAAAAATGACCTTGCTTCCCAGGTCGACCCAGCCTTGAGTGTGTAGCGGGTAAAGTTGGCCAGCGTGATGCTAACACATCATCCAGCTGGTGCCGATTAATCTATACAAATATAGGTCTAGCCCTATATGCCCTATACGCCTAAAGGCGTGAAAAAAAACCTTTACTTTTTTTTACAGATAGATTTTGAATAGTATGGCACATTACTACGTAATTCATTCATCCAACAAATTATGTATCTTATAAAGTTGGTTGCGTATCCTTTACAGGACGTTGCACAATAAACTCGAGCATGTTTTTGGCTGTTGTGATTTTCTAGGCAAATTTACGTCTAGTAGTTAGCTTTTTTTTTTTTTTTTTACGGTCAGCTTTCAAAACCACTGTCGAAAATGTGCGCAAGAGCGTCTGCTGTCGAATGGCCTGCACACCGGCATTACAAAGCGCTCTCGCAACACCGAAGCCAAAGACGTTGACTCTATCTTATAGCTCATTAAAATGTTATAAATTTATAAATTACACCCCGTGTGGATTCCGGGGCCCTATTATATGGAAAAAAACAATGGAACCACAGCCTACACAAAAGCATGTCGTAAGAGTCGACTAATTGGGAGCTTCTTTCGAAGTCGGAGTGCATCTGCCTGAGAGGCAAGTAACCAGCAGTTTGCATACAAATTAATCGGGTCTGTAAAACGGATGCACACGCAACACTCAGGTTCTGGAACAGGACTGCAGTCCAAAAGAGGATAAACAACCAGAACTTTCCGCCAAAGTTTACAGCTGGTGAACGCAAGAAAAAGAAGAAGACTTATAAATCAGCTTTTACTGTAAGCATACTGTTGGCTTCAGTGGCTTAGGCATTACCAAAGCGCTTTGTAATTCGGGAATACCTGGTTCGATTCCACCTGCGAATTTTCATTTGGAGATGGGTTAGATTCCCGACAGGATAACAAGAGCTTTCGATTTTTATGTTATACAGTGTGACCTTCTTTTCTCCACTTCTTTCGATGAGCGCACATCAATGAATTGTCTGTTGTTTTAATTATATATAAAGCTTCAAGGGTCCCTCCTCTGTTTATGTTGGTATATACCAGTGACTGTCAGGGGCGTTGACATAAAAGATCTAAATTCGTAATGCCGGGGCGCTGGATTCGATCCCAGCTGCAGACAGTTTACCTAGCGTTAGTTTCGACAGTGGTACCGAGAGCTGACCGTTCAGTTCAATGAAAAACTACTGAACGTAAAATTGCCTAGAAAAGCCAGAACAGCTAAAATATGCTGGGGTTGGGTCCTACAACATCATGAAAAGGAAACGCAACTAACTTTTAGTGAGAAGGAAAACAGGGGTGGGGGGGGGGGGGAGTGCAAAAACACTAGGACACACCTGTCGAGTTTAAACAAATGAATCAAAACAAAATCAAATCTTTGCTACGGCTTACAGGAGATGAAACGATTAGGAGCCAAATATAAGTGTTTACAGAGAAGAATGACTAAATACGTAACAAATGTATTGATGAATATCGAAATAACAAGCGCAAAAATGTGGTAAAGTATGTGGTAAAGTATGTCGAATGTTAAATTAAGCATTTACATTACATCACTTTCGACAATCCCATTAGGGTTTCGTCCCTACCCATCTTTAGCAGCAAGCGAAGAGTTCCAATTCCTATGATACCAGAAGTATCTGATCAAGACCGGCTCCAGCTGACGAGCCATGTATATGTATAGCAGCTGCAATTATATCACATAATGACTGCAGAAGTTGAGGATGCAATACATCATGTGAAGGGAGAAAAGCACCCGGGCCAGACAACAACTCACTGAAAGAAATCGAAGTACTGGGAGATTTTGGAATTGAAATAATAACTAAACTTTTAGATGATATTTATAATCGTGGGTATATTCCAAATGATCTTTTGAAATCCATATTTATAGCTCTGCCAAAGAAACCAGGCACTTTAAAATGTGAAGACCATCGCACAATAAGTTTTATGAGTCACATGATTAAGATTTAACTGAGAATAATTATGAGAAAAATAAGAAACAAAAGTAAACCAGCGATGAACAATGTGGATTTGTAGAAGGAAAAGGTACAAACAATGCCATAAACAGCCTAAGGACATTGTCAGAAAGAGCTATAGAAGTAAAGACTGATTTGTTCTTATGCTTCATAGACTATACAAAAGCATTTGACTGTGTGAAGCATGAAGAAGTAATCAAACTGTTAGAAAAATTAAACATTGATGGGAAAGATCTTCGAATAATAAAGAATATGTATTGGCAGCAAACAGCAGCTATAAGAATTAACAACTATTTAGGTACATTTCAAAGCATTAAGAGGGGCGTACGACAAGGATGTGTACTGTCACCTGATTTGTTTTCAATATACAGTTAATATATAATGAGATCTTTAATTGATATGCCCGGAATTGTGGTTGGTAGGCACAATATAAACAGTTTACGTTATGCTGATGACACAGTCTTGATAGCAACAAGTCAGAAAGAATTGCAGGAAAGGATAAACATCGTTGTGTTAGAAAGTGGAAGAATGGGCCTCAGTTTGAATAATGCAAAGACAGAAGTAATGGTGGTATCAAAGAAATGAATTATTCCTAAATGTGTAATAAAAGTAGATGGTGTTATTTTTATTATTACAGAAATTTAAGTATCTGGGCACATGGATAACATCAGATGGGAGATGCATTACTGAGATAAGAAACAGAATAGGACAAGCAATAACTACATTTTATAAAATGAAGAGCATCTTGTGCAATATTTCCTTGTCATTGAGAGTTAGAAAAAGAATTCCTGTTTGCTACATACATCCAGTTTTAACATATGGCTGTGAATCCTGGACAATCGGTAGGCAGGCCAAACAATTTCTTGAGGCCTCAGTGATGTGGTTTTTACAGAAGAATTCTTAGAATACCTTGGACAGCCAAAAAGAGCAACCAAGAGGTTTTAAAAGAGTCGGGAGACCGAAGACAACTTATCACTGACATCAGAAGGAGACAGTCATCATTTTTCGGCCATGTTACGAGAAGAGGGAAAATAGAAAATGTTGTGACTATTGGAAAGATCTGTGGAAAGAGGAACAGAGGAAGACAACGAGAGAAGATTCTTGAAAGCCGTGTTGCATAGCATGGAGGTGTGTTGTCACCCGAACTGAAACATGCTGCTGGAGATCGCAGATTGTCGAGAGGCATGATCGCCCACGTCAGTCGGCAAGGCACCTGATGTTGATGATATACATAGTGAAGTGAAGGACCATTTTCCGCGCCTTTAAAATTCGTTTTGGGTATATAGGGCTGGACGTATATTTTACAGACCAATCAGCGCTTGGTGGGTGATGTGGTCAACATCCCGCCGACCGCCTTCCCTTCCCTGGACTGTACCTGGTACCTTTTTAAGTCTGGGTCGACCAGGGAGCCAAATTCGTGTTTGAAAGAAGTACGGATCCGCCAGGACCCGAACCTACAACCTTCCAATCCACATGCGAGCGTCTACCGGCTACTTTGAAAATTCTTTTGTAGCATTCAATTCAAAACACTGTTTTTTCTCTTCAAAGATTGAGTAAGAGTTCATGTCTCACAATCATAAGTTGCACGATCTCAAATTTTTTACTGTAACTTTGTTGCAGGTGTTACGCATCTAATGACATTCATACTGCTTCTTTGATGGCCTCTATAAACAAGTGATCCAACCGTTTGAGCGACTGAAAGGAAATTAAAATAGAAGTTATGGTTCAGAAGCTTTTGAGATGAAAGGATTAACTAGAAAATATTTGGGTTGAGAGTTCAGAGCAGCTATGACAAAGTCAACAAGTATTTATTAATGGATGCTATAGTTTGGTATATGATTTTTATAATTCACGATGACGTCATTACAGTTAGCAAATTTCGTGTCGATGTTTTTGGAAGTGATTCGTCATAGGTCATATTGCATTTATAGAATAACAATGGGTGACCTTAGTTAAGACTCTGTGTCACATAAGGAACACACACGAGCATGTACCCACACATAATTACATATACATACACATACAACACACACACATATACATACAACATATACACAAACAACTCATGCTCCCTTTCACACACACACACACCCACCCACACACACATAGAAGCTAGACGTTCGCCTGTGGATCGGAAGGCCGGGGGTTCGGGTCCTGACGGTACAGGAAATATTTTGTTTTAAATGATCTTGGTTCCCATGTTGACCAAACTTTAAATAAGTACCAGGTGGCGTCCTGGAAAGTAAAAGCGTCCGGCAAGATGTTGCTCACATCATCCAGCAAATACTGACTTCTCTGTAAAAATAGGTCTAGCCCTATATGCCCAATACGCCTGAAGGCGTGGAAAAAGGTCATTTACTCACTCACACACACACACACACACACACACACACATGTAAACAAACAAGCTACATATTTTGTTCCAGTACTAATAATGGTGCCAGTCTGATAACAGGTCGGTCTTGATTTTTCTCTGAACGTTGATAATACACCCAGATGCTCCAGTAAATCTCCATCATTATCATATAGCAAGTCCTTTGCAGAACGTCGCTCTCATCACGGTCTGCCTGAAAGAAACTCAGTTCTCCCGCCTCATGTACTTTCATACCCAAGGAGTCACTTATATCCGGTGCCCGTCTTTGTGTTTGTCCGCCCCTGCCCCTTCCTTCCTGGTACCATGCCTCCTGCTATAATTTTTTTTTCTCCAATCCATTGTGGCGCTTGATATGACCAAAATATTTCAGTTTCCGAGACAGGATGCTGTTTATTAGCCAATTCTTCTTGATGTTCAGATCTTTCAAAATGTCAGTATTTCTCGTCTTCTTTCTGTAAGCTTTTCTGAGAATCTTTCTATAGCATTTCAGCTCAAAAGCCCCTATTATCTTTCTTGAAGACGGAGATAGTCTGGGACTCCTATCCGTATGTTTCTAGAGGGAAAATTGATGCTACAAAAATTCTAATTGTGGTCTCCTTAACCACAGACTTCTAATATTGTTTAATCTTTGCATTGCTATGGCCATCCTCCTTTTAATGTCTGCCAAACAGTCTCCATTAATATTTTTTACAGAGCCTAGATTTTCAAAGTTTGTGAAATTCTATCCCTAGTGCAAGTTTCCAGCGTGCCCTTGGCGTTCCTGATGAAACTATTTCACAACTAATGTGTTCTTTCTTTGCACCTAGTCTGTCGCAGTTGCCCGCTTTCACCTACGATTAATTCCTGGGATTTTCCTGTCAATTTTCCCTGTCCACTTGGCGTGCTTTTCTGTGAGAACATGTTTTCCACAAGTCCCTACCTTCTACGTAAAGGCTTCTGTTAAATATGAATGAACCTGTTGAATTTCTTCTGCACCAATTAGCAAGTCGAGTTTCTAGTTAAACAGTTTCGAATAAAGCAGTGGTTCCCTGCCTGGATGACGTGCCTCTGCGATGGGGGAGGGGATAGCCCCCCCCCCCTCCGCCCCTCCCCAAAAAAGTTATTTTTTTTTAAACGCAGAAAGAACGTCAAATAATTTTGAAAGTGGGTTTATTTGTACTTGTACTAAACTTAAATTTTTGCTGATTATAAAAATAGTATTTTTTAAAGCTTTTTTTATATAATATAAAGCCACTGAGGTTTTGGTTTTACACGAGCTTGATGTCAAAAGTTAACCCCGTTTTTCCATGTCCAAAATCAGACTAAAAAGGGGGGCTACGTGGTCTCGTGACATGGTGTCCGCCTCCAGTGCTGGAGGTTCCGGGATCAATTCCCGATATAGGCTGGGATTTTTTCCACTTGGACTTGGACTTTGGTCTTTGACTAGTGAGATTGGACGCCCGTGTGTATTGTTGCGCACGTAAAAAACCCATTGGCGGTTGGAAATCGAATATAGTAGTCTATATATATATATAGAACTTCATAGTGATAGCCGCAGCTTATTCCGCCATCTTGGCCAGGTTTTTTTTTTACACTGGGCTGCAACCCGGTAAAAGTGAAGAAGACAATAGATAGACAATAGATAGATATATATATAGAATGGATAAATCAAGACTTCCTTACCAAGCCCTCATTTGGACACCACAGGTGAAAAGATCTCGTGGAAGACCAAGGGAAACTCTAGGTAGAACTATCATCAGGGAAGGCTCGCTTATGGGCCACTCAAACATCCAAGACCTACAACGGATTGCAACGAACCGCCATGCATGGAGAGTCATGACCTCTGCCCTATGTGCCGCACTCGACACAAGAGGAAAGACTAACTAACTAACTAACTCTAACGGTGCTGCCTGGGCAAAATTTTGAGTTAACAATCTACTCAAAGTATTTGAGGATACTCGCCGGTGCTACAGAGTCTGTTCACTGTGCTAAACTTCTTTGGACTCAGACTTGAGTTACAAGAAAAACGGAGCACGTGTGGGTTAGTACCCGTGTGCCATGATGTTGATCCGTTGTTCAAAACGTCAATCAGACCATAAATATCAGAAATCATCTAGACAAAACAGTGTCAACCACCACATTGATATTTGGACACTAAATTGCCAGTTAGTGATTGCTTCTTTTATGTTAATTGACACTTTGACTTACGTGTATGATTTTTCAACTTGTTATTAAAAAGTAAAGGACCCTTTTCCACGCCTCTATGCGTATTGGGCATATATGGCTAGCAGTTGGACACTGGCTTGCGGATCGGAAGGTCGTAGGTTCGGGTCCGGAAGGAATCGGTTTTTTTTTCCAGACATGATCTTGGCTTTCAGGTCGACCCAGTCTTGAGGGAATACCATGTCAGTCCTGGGAAGTAGAGGCGGCCGGTTTGATGTTGACCACATCCCCACCAAGTGCCGATTGGTCTATAAAATATAGATCTAGCCCTATATGCCCAATAGGTTGTAGGCATGGAAAAGGGTACTTTACCTATTTTACTATATATATATATATATATATATATATATATATATATATATATATATATATATATATATATATATATATATATATATATATATATATATATATATATACACACACATACACCTATAAAGATAATATTTTTACGTGGTTAAAATAAATTGCCTAACTCCCTCACAAAATTATACTGGGGGTGGGTTTGATGGGATAGGGCAGAGGAGGCTACACGAGCCTGAACAATGTCTCTCGCCCCCTGATGTAATGGATCGTTGCTGGTGCGAGAGATTTCGTGCTTATTGAGGCACTCCCAGCAAGCCGCTAACGATTCTGTGGAAAGACAGACATTCAGCCATGCGGGATAAAAACCTAGTGCAAAGAAGTCGACCCCATTTAAACATAATAGAGAATAACGACTTCTGGAGGACGTCGTTGTCTGCCCTCGTTGACCCTCTTGTGCAGCGGTTCTTAACCTGTGGATCACGACCCTTTTGTGGGTCGAACGACCCTTTCACAGGGTCACCTAAGACCATCGGACAACACATATTCACTCCAGTTATTAAGTAGCAACGGAAATATCTGTATGGCTGAGGGGTCGCTACAACATGAGGGAACAGTGTTAAGGGGTCGCGGCATTTGGAATGTTGAGAGCCACTGGTCTAGTGTTATGTCTGTCTGCCACGTGAAAGGAACAGAAGGGATTGGTTCCCACCTGCCACCACGGACACATATTGCTCTCGGGAATTTCTTTAAATTAATTGCCACAGGTCGTTGCCTCATGAAGCGGGGGTGAGGAACATGACAGGAGACGGTATCTATCTGGCATGCACTCACTGAACATGGCTAGTTGGGTTACTTCTGCTGGTCAGGTCATTAACCACTTGAATGTTGTACGGGAGGAATGCTGAACCAATTCAAGGAGTGGACCTCGGCACCGGTTATCTTCCATGTCTCTCTCCCACACGTTCTCATCTTCTGTCATTCTTCATCGTACTCATTTTGTTTTCTTTTTCGTCTTTCTTTTTCTTCACTCACATCGTCTCTGCCTGTCCGATCTCTTCATTCTCATTTCTCGTCGTTCTTGTTAGCATGTCTTTACTCATTTTTAGCTATCTATGTACCTGTCTGTCTGTCTGTCTGTCTGTCTGTCTGTCTGTCTGTCTGTCTGTCTGTCTGTCTGTCTGTCTGTCTGTCTGTCTGTCTGTCTGTCTGTCTGTCTGCCTGCCTGCCTGCCTGCCTGCCTGCCTGCCTGCCTGCCTGCCTGCCTGCCTGCCTGCCTGCCTGCCTGTCTGTCTGTCTGTCTGTCTGTCTGTCTGTCTGTCTGTCTGTCTGTCTGTCTGTCTGTCTGTCTGTCTGTCTGTCTGTCTGTCTGTCTGTCCGTCCGCCTGACTGTCTGTATGTCTGTCTGTCCGCCCACACGTCTGTCTGTCTGTGTTAATGTGTGTGTATGTGTGCGTGCGTGTGTGTAAGAGAGAGAGAGAGAGAGAGAGAGAGAGAGAAAGAAAGAATATGCCAGTCAAATACAGTGTGAAAAGTGCTGCATATATACTGCGGCATATGTGTGGTGCCCAGCTCTCGTCTAGATCTTCTATTGTGCAGCTAGGTTTAGGTTTGAACAACCGATCAACGTCATGGCACAAGGGTAGCAACCCATAGGGACTCCGCTCTACTTCTAACTCAAGTCCGAGTCCGAAGGTTCTCAGCACAGTGCACGAACTCTGTAGCACTGGCGAGGTTCCTGCCAAAGTTTCCCCCCCCCCCCCCTCTGAGATCAGGCAATCCCCCTATGGTGCCGCTAAAATACACACTGTGCACCTTTTAATAACTTTAATTATATTTCATTTCTGTGATAGAAATGTTACCTAGCCACAATCATAACATATATTATTAGAGCTGTTCACACATGTGTTGTAACTACGATGCTTTTGATAAGGACGAATGTACTAATTAATGACGCAATTATGTCAGAAAGAAGATATTTATACTAAAAGTAAAGCTATAGTCGGGAGATGTGAACCAGGGTCATTGCACACGGTTATAAACCATAAGTGCTCTGCCATAAGTACAGACAGCTGACAATTAACTGTCCGCCTGTGTCGCCGTTCGCACGTAACTCTGTAGCTAGAGCAACGTTCCTCTATTTACCCTAGAGTGTCAGCTCTGGTATCCATTTCCTAGAGGGTGGGTAAACCCCATCGCACAAGAAAGCATATCAGATATGTAAACAATCAACACAGGTGTGAGACAGGGATGTGTGCTCTCCCCACTTTTATTTAACATCTAAATAGACAGAATATCTATAGAAGCAAGTTCTGATACAGACAACATAGACCTTTATAATCATGATGAAGTACACACATCAGGAGAATTTATAGATTCACCAACATTAAACGAACTACTATTTGCTGACGACCAGTGCTTGTTCTAACCGGAAGAAGATAGACCGCAAGACCACATTACTAAGTTAAATTCAGCATCCAGTAAATACAACATGAAGATCAATGTAAACAAAATCGAAACGATGCAAGTTAGTAATACCCCTGGCCCACTATACATACAGCTAAATGGTTCTGCTCTGAATGACTGATTGACTGACTGACTGACTGACTGACTTTCTACGCCACTAGAACATCACACAAGCGATAAACACCCGATGACACAAAGTGCCACCATGTGGATGAGGATCGCCATGGAGAGGTCCCAGAAACCGCGTTCAGACAATTGGCCATATTTATGGCCTGCCTATATTGCGGCCCCTGACAAAAGGCAGGGTGGGGCTTCAAATAACAAAAAATGTCATCCTAAAAAAAAGACAAAACATGATAGGTTAAGCTCTGAATCAAGTTAGGGAGTTTAAATATCTAGGAAGTATGATCACAAAAGATAGTTGAATTGACAGAGACATAAAAACCAGATGTCAGAAAGCAAGTGCACTTATATACCAATTGTCACCATTATTAAGACATCCAAACATAACTATGAGTGCAAAGAGACAGATTATTAATAGCATATTCATTCAAACATTAAGCTACCAGTGCCAAATATGGGCACTATCTAAAGCTCATATACGCAAAATCACCACCTGCGAGATGAGGTGCCTGAGAAAAGCAGCCAACCTAACCATCCAAAATCTAGTGAATAATGAAACTATCAGGCAAATTGTGGGAACGACAGCTTGTACTAGATTCATCGATAAACAGCAGATCAGGTGGTTTGGCCATCTCGTTATCCTTAAAACTAAAGCGAATCAACATTTTTAAATGCCATTTTCGTTTTTAGCACACCAAAATTAGTTAGGCTCAACTATTTTCGTTTCTAAAACATTTTGGTTCTTTTTCGTTTTCTTTTTCAGCATTCCGAGCCTTTGAGGTTCATTGCTGCAGTTATCACCCACCTCCATTCATCCCTCTGGTTGGCCTTCTCTTTCCTACTGTTAACACCAAGTGTTTGCAGGTCTGTTTGGGTGTTATATCTCCATAGTCTTCTTGGTCTGCCCCGTGGTTTACGACCATTCACCTCCCTCGTGAATACAGTTTTTACTTCTCTGTCATCTGACATTCTTTCCTCACATATGTGATTTACAGACACGTTAACTTTGACTAATGTGTGTGTGTTTATAACTCTCTGAGAAGGATATGACATTTATGGTTATTGACAAGTTTAATTACTGAAACAGACTGATAGACAGAAAAAGTTGCCAGATACTTATACAAATAAACAAGTCCCGGGCAGAATGATAATCGTACAGACAAATTATTACACTTGTTTCTAACCAGACAGACATGCAGATGAACGTGTAGATAGGCAGGTTACAGATTTATACACTCATACAGACATGGGCTTAGTGTACCTCTAAACATACATCACCATCATGTGCCGTGCCGGTAAGCGTAGGCTATCACGTTGCACCATCAGAATCACAGATCGATTCAATCTTCTTGTCTCGCCCTCTTTCATGTGGCCAAACCCCTCTTTCGTGTGGCCAAACCACCCAGACATTGATCTCTTTGCCTTCTTGCTCTATGTCTCTCAATGTTCCCAGTTGTTACCAGGCTCTATAGACCTTTAGGTGCTTTCTTAATAGCCTACCCCAAACAGGGAAAATCCACAGGTCACTGGGGCAGTCTGAAATTGCAGGTGGTGGTAGATAGGCTGCATGCAGTCGTGGGACCTAGGCTGCACTCTCTAGTGGGACGTAGGTGGGTTGGAGTTAGGGCCAGTTCTAGATGTATTTGGGGTCGTTAAAAGCATCACAAAGACGGGAAACCCAGTCTTACCACCCACTAAAATGTTGGACTGTCCTGTGACATAATCTGGGGTAGGATATTACGAAAGAACCGACTTTTCATTCTTACAATGTGTCTATATCTGATTTTTCTTATCGGTAAACGAATTGCATCCTTTTTGGTGAGGACTGCTGTGTTTATACCCACAGAAATTATTCTTGATATTCTTTGCGTTTTTCTTAAAAACCACATCTCTGCCCCGAGTAAAAGCTTTTCAGCTTGTCTGGTCCCCTCTCCCCCTCGCCAACCACCGACCCCCTCCCACCCCCACTGTCATACTTCTTTTGCGTATCTTACCCCTAAGGGAGCATGGGCCAGCAACCAACTAACACAAAGTCGTTCTATCTTTCGCTATCGCATTCAGCTCTACCCATGTATTCAGCTCTACCCATGTATTCAGCTCTACCCATGTATTCAGCTCTACCCATGTATTCAGCTCTACCCATGTATTCAGCTCTACCCATGTATTCAGCTCTACCCATGTATTCAGCTCTACCCGTGTATTCAGCTCTACCCATGTATTCAGCTCTACCCATGTATTCAGCTCTACCCATGTATTCAGCTCTACCCATGTATTCAGCTCTACCCATGTATCCCCCATCATTTCAACATCACTCTACAGCTCCCTTCTCTGTGTGTTTTTGGTCTTTCTTTATTTCTATACCCCTGTTGGTTCCAGTAAAAAGACAATCTAGTTACACTCAAGGTATGAAACAGCCGGACACAATGATATAATGATACACAGACAGATACATGCAAACAGATAAGCAGACACACCGACTAATAGCGACTTGGACCACCAAGGAACTAGAACACAGGTTCTCAACCTTCCTAATGCCGCGACCCTTTAATATACAATTCCTCTATAATGTGGTGACCTCCAGCCATAAAGTTATTTTTGCTGCTACTTCAAAACTTCAGTGAATATGTTTTTTGATGAACTTAGGTGACCTCTGTGACTCCCAAAAGGGTCATGACACACACGTTGAGAACCGTTGAACTAGAAAATCACGTGGAGAAACAAATCTACAGGAATATGTAAATGCGAATATTTACCAGAGAAAGCTGTAGCACTCCAGGGTATCAAAGTGACTGTCCATTTGTCCAGAATCAATGACCCTGTCTGCTGCGTCCAGAAAGGACTGCCCACCTCCAACGACGTCATAGGATGACGTCACACAGGTACGCATATAGGTAACCTGTAGATTTGTCTACTTCAGGTAACCGAAGCGCTCACAAAGCTTCACTGCGGAATAATCCCATTCTTGAAGTGCATTATGAATGAACATATATCCTGTTCACGAAAAATAGTTCCACATCCTGGGTAAAAAAATCAGTTAACAACACAATTGTTTCACTTTTTGGAATGTTGTTTCTAATGTTTGTTAACTTTCTTCCGTATCTTTAGATCATCTCACATCTAGCAAATGTTCGCACTCCGTTTAGAAATTCTGTCACGATTTCAAATACACTGTCACTGTGACTCAACAATCCTTTGATCGGAACAAAAGGAATTTTTCATATAAATATTTATGGTGCTTTATTAAAATCCTACCTCAAACAGGGGAAATCCTCAGGTCACGGGACAGTCTAATATTTCAGGTGATAGATAGGCTACATGCAGTCGTGGGACCTAGGTTGAACACACTCTCGTGGGGGGTAGGTGGGTTAGGGTTAGCGCCAGTTCTTTATGTTT